CATTTTGAGGACTTTAATCTTCTAAATAAGTAAAAATATACACAAAGGAAATTGCAAAAATAAATGAACACAAAATGTTTGCTGTGAAAATCAAAACAATTGCCGATATAAGTAACACAAAAAACAAAATTATAACAAGTCGCACCTCTGCATATTCTCTCAAGTTGATGAAGATAGCTCAAAGCTGATGAATTTTTCGAAGCAAATCTTATTCCAAACCTGATCATGCAGGGTTTTGAACTTTAAAAATCTTTAAAAAATGGAGGGAAAAAGAACTTTGCCGGGGAGTTTTGAAAAATTTGGGAATCGGGTAGGAGATAAAAATACTCTCTAATACATTATCATACGATTTTTTGATCAATTACAAGTTTTCTTTCCTTGTCAGGTGTAATTCAGCCGTAAGTTTAAAGCTTTGATACTAAATACTTGGCTCAGAAGTAAACTCTTTGATTGGACGAGTTTCTCTAAAGAGACCTTTACTCAGCCGGAAAACGCTCTTTTGTACAATTTGAACGTCCAAAAATTTATGAAAAAAGTAGGGGTCGGCATCTATTTCAACAGTCAGAAAATCAATTGGATTTTTTTTTCTTGTAAAGTAACTCGAGGAAACTCAAATGTGTTGATAGACATTTTTCAAATAAGGATTACGGTTTCTAAAAAATCATAAACAGTTTACCTTTAGAAAATGCTGGACTCTGATTGGTTGATCTCCAAAAAACAGTGTGTTACTTGAAAAATCTCAATTCTGATTAGTTGATTTTCCCTAAGCAATATCAGATAAAACTTATTCCATTCTGATTTTCTTTTTCGTTAAAAGCAATCGCTCTATACCGTTTTCAAATCTCCCAATAAAGTAGGTACCTTTAATTAAGGCACATGCTAAAACTCTTATTTTTTTCTAGATGCCGGCACTCAACAGGATTGAGAAAAAGAAATGCGAGAACTGTGGTGAAGAGTTGAAAGCGAGGAAAACGAGTGATTCTGTTGCCGATTTGAAAAATCTTGGAAAACGAGGAGGATTGAGATCAGCTACGAGATGAGTTGCTAGTCAACACTTCTTGACAGATACTGATATGGTAAATGGACGCCACAAGGTATTCGACTTCTTCAAAACTAGATCCTAATCTTGTTAATGAAAAACTGGATCAAGTATTTCAAAAACTTGATTTTTCAGCAAAAATCAACATTGGCTTGGAATTTGTGTTACGTAATATAGAAACCGGTGAATATCGTTAACTCTACTCTTATGAAAACAACACACTTTTTGGTAAATCTATACTGCTTTGTACTAAAGCAGACTTGACGACTATACGACTTGAAGTTTCGTGGAATTTCGATGGATAATCTGTCAATAGTTGGAGATGAAGTAGAGAAAAACATCTTTATCTACGATATCGTCATTGAAGCTGAAGACTTCGTGGCAGAATTAGCTCGGAGAAGTATCGGTAAATAGGAGAATACAATGAAACTTCTACAATACAACAACCACGTTTTTTACGTCAATAAAATCGACAACTTCAAATGCTTCCGATGCCCAGCTTGCGATACATTTTTCCACAAGTTAGACCATTTCAACAAGCATTTTCTACGAAGCAAAGACCGAATCGGAAATAATTTACAACAAAAACTTTTACTCTCTACGTAAGACGTTATTTCAAAAACTGGATGGGTTCAATATTGAGTATACCAAAGAACCGACCTTATTCAAAAATGTCGCTATTTTTGATTTTGAATCAATTGGCGCGCCACTCGAAAACCTGTCTACGTATTTTTACTCTCCACGTAAGACGTTGTTTCAAAAACTGGATGGGTTCAATATTGAGTTTACCAAAGAACCGACCTTTTTCAAAAACGTCGCTATTTTTGATTTTGAATCAATTGGCGGGCCATCTGAACAACTAGAACCGACAGAAACAATAAATTGGATCGGGAAGCATGAACCCACATTAGTGTCATTTTCATCCAAGTTACTTTACAAACCCATACTTTTGTGTGACAAAGATCCACAATCCCTCATTAATGACTTAGTGGCAAACTTAAAACGGAGATACAATCAAAGATTCTGGAATTTGAAACTAACATCAAAAAGCGGCCACACACGATTTTCAGCATTGTTAATGAACGAGGCAGTTTACTGTGTACCAAAATTTATCGATTTGTACAATACACACCGCGTTAAGTATTCAAAAGTTTCGTTCAGTCGGTTGTTGATGCTAGGCGAGCCGGTGATGAAAAACCTTTATCTGAAGTGGTTACCGAAACTATGAAACTGCTCGGAAATAATTCCTGCGGTTATCAAATAATGGACAGATCAAAACATACAATGACAAATATCTTGGAGACGAGAAAACCCGTAAAGCTTTTAATTACCAGTTCCTCAAGAGACTCAATATCGTAGCTAAAGATTTGTATGAAGCGAAACTTGTTAAAACTACTATAGAGCATCGTGAACCAATTATAGTAGGATTCTTTATACTAAAGCATGCCAAGTTGAGAATGTTGGAGCTGTATAATAACTTTTTCGACCAATTTTGCGACGTTTACAAACTTGAAGAACTCGAAATGGATACAGATTCCTCTATTTGGCTTTGGCAGAAGAAGATTAAGATGAATGTATCCTTCCCAGCAAGCGAGCAGAATGGATTGAAAAGCGAAGCACGGAGTGTCGAGACGATTTCAGATGAGATGCGAAAAACAACTTTTCCCCCGTACTTGCTGCTCTAAACATAAGAAACATGAGAAGAGAGAACCAGGATTGTTCAAGGATGAGTTCAGATGCACCAAAATACTGTGACTGTGTAGTAAAACGTATTGCTGTTACGATAGCAAAAGTCAAACGTATAAGTTTAGCAGTAAAGGATTGATCAAACGCGCATTAGAGGACTCTGGAGATGATCCGACGGCAAAGAATCGACAAGTATTGGATGAGGCAGTGAATTTGAAGTCAAATAATAGAGTATTTAAAAACGATTAACCATGCTGTTGCCACTTATGAACAATCTAAAAAAGGAATGAGCTTTTTTTACCCTAAACGGTAAGTTGAATGTGATGGATGTTTAGATGTGATAAACCTCTAAATTTGTAAGAGATTATGTTGTAAAATTGTATACGACGCTGTAAATTAAAAAATTTTCTCTGTAATTAACCTTTCTTTTCAAACGTTACGTTTGGGTAAACAATTTATTGTTTTTTGATTAAGAAAAAGTCTAGAATCTAGAACATCGACAAAATCGGGCGCCAAAAGCTTTTTTCTCGAAACTTACCATCTGATACCTGTCACCGTAAAACATGGGAAATCTATTGCCTATGTTAACATATAGGATGAGGACCGGATACTCTATAGCCTATGTTAATACATGGAAGTACTCACGCCCCCCCCCCCCCCGGGCTGAACTGCCCCAACATCTACTACTCCAAACATTTTCTGCCTGGATGTTATCAAGAGCACAGAGCAGATCACCATACTGCAAATTACTAAGGGTGCAGTGCAACAGGAACATCAGGTCCACCGTCGAACATAAGTTGAAACCCAAAATTGAACACTTGCTTACCAACAACCATGAGAGCATCTCTGAACTTGAATATTTTTGCGGGATCAAAAACCTCCATTAACCAAAAGACAAAGTTGCCTTAACGAGAAATCTAAGCTACTTAGCAGAATTCCAATTTTATCAGCTAATGAAAACAAACTTGCCGGAAAAACAGATGTAGGCTAGCACAACTTAGGTCGGGGTATTCAATCCACCTTAATAGTTACCACCATAGACTGAATAACAATATACCTGACGTTTGCCCAAGTTACTATATAGGACCTCACACCACTGATCATCCCTTTAATTGCCGGGTACACCCTATCGCACTTACCACCGACAGCCTATAGGAGAATCCCGAGGAATCTGCCAAACATCTGCATCTTATCACATAACAGAATTTGTCTCGGTTCTCGCCACTAACTATAACCTTGGCCCCTAGAACAGGCATCATTTTTGACAACCAAACCTCACTCTTGAGTGTGCTATACAGAGAGGAGGCGCCGATACCAGCACAAAGACGCTATCGCTGGGAAAGGTGGTTCCGCTTCAATGTCGGTTTTGCCGCTAGATACCCTGGTTGGAACTGCAGTGATAGATTATACAAGACAACGAACAAAAACCCCTGACTCTCTCTCTCTCTCTCTCTCTCAAACAGAATCAATCTCTCCGATTCAATTGGATGTTCGAAACCGAAATCAGTGTAGCAACAACAACAACATTGACGACTTAGGTTGAAAAAATCTTCGCAATAATAAACCACGCACCGCTTGTAAAAAAACAAATGACAGTGGTCAATTACTTTGGAAGTAACAACGAAATTTTCCAGCTAAAGTAACTTTTATAATTAATGTGAAAAAATGTTCTTTTAGTGGGTGCTCTATAAAATCCAAAGCATTCCATGAGAAATTAAATTTACTGAAACATAAGGTTTTAAGCACATGAGCTATTATTCCGAAACTCGACTGATCAATTTAGGGTCACAATTCACTGGTTTTTGCTCAAAAGTGGTCTGAAAATTGAAATACTCAGGCCGATTTTTGCCGAGACCATGAATACTCTTTCGGCTATTTTCACTGCATATTCGAGTGAAAGGCTACTAATCTGATATAACCCTCGCTAATTTCAATGTTCTAGAATCCAAAGTTCCTCAACAGCTTCGGTAGTCGGAACAAAAACAAAGTACGAACATTGGCAAAAAACGGTTACAGAAAAACAAAGTACGAACATTGATGTAGTCCCATTAAAACAAACAAAAAAAATTAGTTTTTTGAAGTTATAGAAGTCAATTAGCTTAAAAATAAAATACAAAAGTTATAAATACAACAAAAGCTTAAGAAACAGTTGGCTCGTATTCCGTTGAGTTGTTCACTTCTAAAGCTTCTAAAAATTACATCAATTTCACGTTGCTTTTACCTTAGAAAATCTTTATTAAAAAATAATCGCGACCGATATAACAATTATACATACCCTCATTACTAGCTGCATTTATCAATTGTAAATCCGATTCATCTATTTTCATTTTCTTTTTGGCCACAATTGATCTTCGTACCTCCTTAGCAGATATAGATAACCCATCGAACGGAATTGAGTCAAACTTTAATTGACTCTTGAACTTGAAGAAGATCTGTGCAGGCATATCTTCTGTAAAATAGAAGTGTACAAAAAAAATAACAATTGATGAGTTGTAACTCGAAAACGTTCCAATAAACATTCAAAAAACATGGTCTAAATTTTTCCAGAACAACTTTGTACACAGCAGCTGAGCTTCGCTTCACTTGCAATACAAAACCAGAAAGCAGCTAAGTCGGCGAAAAATCAAAAACAAATTCGAAAATGTCGAATAAACTAAACCTACCAAAACAATCAGGCTAGTATTGAAAAAGAAACGTGCCAAGACAATAGGTGAGGCACTTCTATGATATCATGAGTTCGCAGTTCAGAGAGATGTCTCAGAAAATTTTGATCAAAAATATTTTCGTTATTTCTGATCCCTTCGACCATAATGCCCTCGAAGTCTATGACATTCGACCAGAATGGCGCCAAAATGCTGTAACATTCGCCCGGAAGTACATATCGACGGTAAATAAAGCTAGGTTGTAAAACGACTGGCTAGCATGTAAACACAACTCTACATGCTTTTAACCGTCTCTACCAAAGCCAGTTCTTTGTGTGGTCCTTTTAACATCGGGTCGACAAAATTGTTACTGTTTTGGGCTTCGGTCAGAACGCTCAGATTAACTTAGTTACATGCAAAATAGTGAGCTCATGGTTGGGTTTCAGTATCCCCAGACCATGAGGTCACTCCTAAAACCAGGGCTACTACTTATTTATTATATTACTTTTGTTTTAGTTCAGTAGATAAAAATCATCATTCCCATCGGAGTTGGATCAACCCTTTCCCTCAACTCCTAGCTTCTCATCATCTGAAAACGAATTTAGATGTTATTAATTCAATCAGGACATTCCAGGATTGTAACAGTCGCCTACTTAAGTGACAAATGAGGTTAAAGAAAAATAGGCCCTATAACCATTGGCCCAAGAGTCAGGGACACTATCTCTTGTGTTCTTCTACCTCAAGCGGTCGGAGCGAATTCGGTTCACTTGCGACATGAGACTAAAACCCGCATTACAGCTTAAAGGCCACTAGCAAAATACCCCCCCCCCCCCACTCTAGAAAAATAGAACGCTCCCATACTCAGGTCTCAAAATACCTAAAATACACGAATGCTGTTAAAAACAGGGTCGGAACCTTATGTATAGCTACTTTTTATTAGAAAGTGGACCTTTCATCTATTTCAGATGGATCAACCTAAAAACTCTCTCTAACTGAACATAACAACATAAAACACACTCAAGAAAAATAAATTAGGTACTCACATACCGACACGACTTCTAGAATTGAGTAACTAAACTATAAAGCAGCTCTAGAATTGATTGGGTAATTAAGTTTAACCAAGAGTCAGGGACACTATTTGCGCTACCCACTATTTGCGCTCCAAGTGAACCGAATTCGCTCCGACCGCTTGAGGTAGAAGAAAACAAGAACTCGTTTGCGCTACCCAAACTCCTATATTTCCTTCGTACAGCCCCTTGTTTTCTATACGAGCAGCTCCTTCAAAATTACGACAACACCCTCCAGAAATCAGTGGAAGAAATCTGCAACATCACTGTAACATTCGTCTACTGCAGTCACACATGAGGCTTAAGAAAAATAGGCCCTATAACCACTGGCTCAAGGGTCAGGGACACCATCTCTTGTGTTTTTCTACCTCAAGAACGGTCGGAGCCAGTTCGATTCGCTTGTGACATGAGACTACGACCCGTTACAGCTTAAAGGCTACTACTAAAATATCCCCCCACTCTAGAATTAGAAACGTCCCCATACTTAGGTCTCTAGATACCCAAAATACATGAACGCCGTTAAAAACCGGGTTGGAACAATCCGTTAAGTTACTTTTTATTAGACAGTGGAACTTTGATCCATTTCAGATGGATCAACCTAAAACTCGCCTTACCTCAACATAACAATCATAAAACACACTCTAGGAATTTAAATTTGTACTCACATAGTAGCACGCTCAAGAAGTGGGAAATAATCCAGTCGGTAGTTAACTCAAGAATTAAATAACGTAACTAAATGAGTCTAATGTTTTATAGTTTTAACAATGAGAACGAGTTTATACTCTAGACAATAGTTTTCTTGTGAACCATTAGGACACTCAAGTTGTCCACCTTTCCACCGAAGGTTCACTCTAGTCCAGTTCCGAATAATACTCCAGTCGCTATAATCCAATTCGAGGGAATGCTCTCGTCTCTGTCACAGATGGGACAGCTCTACTCTCGATTATTATAGTGATGGAAATTGCGAATAGCAATTTCCTACTGCTTTTTCTTACAACTTTCCCGCGTGTGTGTCTCAATCGTTCTGAAATTGTTCTTACTTCTTTTTCTGATTTTCAGTTCTCGCGAGAAAATCGTGCATGACAGGTTCCATTCGAAATTTTGAAAAATTAAATTTCACTCCAAAATCAAGTGTTTTTTGCTTCTCTCAAGGTCAAACTTCCAAATATGACCGACTGGCACATACTCCCCGGACTCGAGATCGATGTCCTCATCGCGCGCTGTCTTCTGCCAGTGAGTCCCAGAAAAACCGAGTGTTGCTCAAGATACAGTGCCAGTGGTCATTTACAGAAGTTTGCAGCAGATTTAAGCTTATCTACACCCCAAAATTCACAGCCATTTAAAATTTTCACACTATTGCTAAACAGCAACCAAAATCTGCATACACCTGCACCCTTGAATTTTCGCTTTTCAAGCCAATCATTTTAAAATCTCTTTTGTCCTATTCAATCAGGAAATTGTCATGCAGCATTTCGATTTATATAATAAATATAGTATATTAGTAACAATATTTGCTTTGTTAAAATTTCTTTTTCGTGAATCCAACTTTCACTCGGATCCACGCTCAAGCCCCCCTTCCCTCTCAAGACTCAAGATCCATCCGATTTGCCCATTCATCTCGTACTCTTCGCCTTGGAGGTACTGCATCCTGAAGTGCTGGATGCGGCAAACTGTCTCAACAGTTCCTCTTCATCATCGGAACTAATCACAATCTCCTCCCAAGCCTTCAGCTGTTCATAGGATCGCATCCATTCTCTCTGCTCATGCAACCTCTTTGCTTGGTTGGGTAGTGCCTTCACCCTAGCTTCTCGGTTCAAGCAAAAGGAGTTGTGCAGGCTCAAGCTCACGTTCTTCGCCAGGTCTTCCTCTAGTATTGACTCCCTCGCTTTGGTATTGTCTCTAGACATCTTACCCACTCTTTTCCATCCTGTCGTGATCGCATTACGATGGGTTAGCAGGGGTCTCTTGAAAGCTTCCGGCCCAATCTCGGCCTGGAACTGTCGATACTCTTTTTGATGTTTTCTCATGTGATCTTTCGTTGTCATGTACAACCAAGACGTCAGTGTCGCCCGAAACCATGGAAAGTACCTCAAGCGACTCCATACGTGCCTGACTTCCGTCGGTATGGCGAATACTTTGCACGCAGTCTCAAACAACTCGAGTCTCCTGCTGTAGTCTATCGCGTATATTGACTCAGCCGTTGGCGTCGTCGCCTCCCGATACTTCGTTATATTCTCTTCTATCCATCTCAGAGCTAACATCGTACTCACTACTAAGAGCGTCACCTTCTGCCGGTGATCCGTCAGTCCGATCGACCGAATCTCTTCCACATCCCACACCAGGCAAAGGTTCTTGTGATCTGGATACCACACCGTTTGTGCCAAACAGTGGCATGGGCATTCCCCATGAGAGATCTCAATGCTCCTGAGATTACGCTCCCCTGAGGCTTCCAAGAGAGGCTCAAGCTCCATCATTTTCTCGTGCATCGTGTCGTTGTCTTCCAGGTTCGGAGTACTTCCCACAGGTTTCCCGATCACGTTTTGTCTCTCGTGATCGCTTGTGTTTTCTCTTTCCAACTTCAGAAGATCTTCTCCCCAGATTTCGCTTAAGTCATCTCTCAATTCTTTTGGTACTGTCCCTTTGATTTTTCTCAACAACTTGTGCGAGTGATGCGACATCCGAGCCAACCTCACGCACTTGGGCACTGAGAAGGCCTTGTCCACCAGTATTCTCTGGCTGGACACTTCCACCATCGCCATGTGTAGCGGGTAGTGACTTCCGCACAAGTTGGCCATCATTGACCCTATCAGCGATTTCGCGTTCAATGGCAAGCCATAAGCTTCGCTCATGGGAAATCCCATTTCCGCCTCAAGACCAACCTTCCAGCTCCGGATGTGTTTTTGAGTCACCTGCAACACCCCGGGCCATGATTCTACGCTCAACGCCGTCACTAAATGATGTTCAGATTCCAGTCTCTCCAGTGCCTGCAGAACACACATTCTCGAGAAGAATCCGAGAGCTGTCGCTATATTCACCGTGGTTCTCGCGTAACATTCCGCTGTTATTTGCACTTCACTTTTCTCCCTTTCTGTGATGTCTTCGAACCAAGTGACCAGGTCTTCTTTTTGAAACGACAGTATTCTGACGCATGACCGTCCATCGCAGATGTACTCTCCGTTCCCACACGTCGAATCCAGACAGCTACCCGGCTCCAATTTCTTTGCTGACCCGGGGTCGCTCGTCCTTTCGCTTGGCTCTTGCATCTGGGGCGTGATTAGCTTATGTAGCACACTCAACTTCGCCAGATCTTCATCTTCCGTTGGTGCTAACCTCACTCGCTCGGTGGTTTCCTCGATTAGACTCGCATGGGGATGTGGACACCAGGAGGGTCTTAGTAGCTTCCATATCACTCCCAAGTTCGTAGTTAACAAGCCATTTCCACCGCCCACGTTCACTTCAACTCTCCTGTTTGAGCGCGGTATGCTTATCACCTCTGGTGTTTTCTCAAGAATCAGGCCCAGGCTCGGCCCCTCTTTCTCCACCGCGTCTATCTCCATTATTCTTTCTGTCCAAAACTTCAGTAGCTCCGCTACCTCATGGTTTCTGTGGGCTCCTCCAGCTTCCGAGGCTAAGAAGGGATTGTAGGCTATTCCCATCACTCCAGACACATATTGGTATTCCCCCTTCTCACTGAGTCTCGAGTACTGTTCTGACGAGGCCAGGTTACGATGAACATCATGTTCTTC